GCCTCATTACGTCCCCGGTCTTCATTCTCCTGCAGCTGCTCATGATCCGCGCCTGTCGGGTCAACTAGCCTCACCGAGGTGCCGGAGAGGGAGCGCTGGACGGCTAGAATGCTGACCTCAAGCCGAGGCCCTACTTGCGCCGCACCGGAGGAGAGGCTCTCTAGTCTAAAGGCAACTCCTGCTTGCGCCGAACTGAGTGCCCGGTTTCCCTATTTCAATCCTGCCTGAAATGGTTTCTTCAGCAGGGTTTAAAAGAGCAGCCTTCATCCTGAAAATGTATTTCTTTTTATTTAATGCTTTGAGTAGATAATCCTGAATTGAGGTCCTGAGGAGGCCCCCAGGCCAGACAGTCCTGAACCCCTCTGACACTTGGAAGCTGAATATAAATAAAATGTCCCGGTGGACTCTGAGTATTTCCTGTGGATCCTGGGAAAGTACTGTTGCACAAAGGCTGCAAAGCTGGACTCAGGAATGTCCTCCAACCAGCAGCGCTGACCTGAGAGCTCCCTGTGCCGTCCATCCAGACCAGACTTCGGTAGATGCCTTTGTTAGATCAAGTGTAAACCAGCTTGTATCTCCCCTGTGCCACGAGAGATTGGCTTTTTATTCCAGTCTAGGCAGAGAGAGAAGAATGTTGAATAAGAGCACGATTAGGGTCCTGTCTGGTTATCTCTTGCCCACGAAAAGAGCTCTGCTGTCCAGGCACTGCTTGGTTTCCTATCCCAGCGAAGACTGCTGTTCCGTGGACCTTTTCACCACCTTGTGGCTGGCACTCTTAGCACACCTGAGACAGATTTAAGCCTCCCTGAGAGACTGAAGAGAGGGACAGGTGTCGGATACTCATAGGCACTGAGACCTACAAATGGGAAACTTGTGAGTGGCCCAGCTTTGTTGGCCTATGAACTTTGGTTTGATGCCAGTCAGGTGCCAAATGAGAACCTTTGCTGAGATGCAAATAAAGTAAGAGAATGTTTTCCTGAAATGAATAGTGGTTGCCTGTACCCCTCAAAGGTTAAATGTGATGAATATTGAGATACTCTCTGCTGCCTGGTGTAACTGGTTACAGAGCTGCAGTTTCAGATGGGTGGAAACCTGTGGCTAGAGCTTAGTGGATGGTGGTGGTGGTGGGAATCACTCGTTCTGGAGAATCCCTCCTTCCTGCTCTAGGAGGCCGGTAACTCAGGCACCCGCCCCACCCTGTGTGAAGACAATAGTCTAGGCTCACGTTGAAGACCCGTTGAATAGTTTGTGACCCCAGAGCCCGTGACTTCTTGCCAGTGTGTGGTATTGTGTGGGCCTTGGCACTCTGTAGCGCGGGGATCAGCAAACAATGTCCTAAGGCCTGTGTTTGTGTGACCCTTGAGCTGAGGATGGTTTTTACACCCCTAAATAATTAAAAGCAGGCCGGGTGCGGTGGCTCACGCCTGTAATCCCAGCACTTTGGGAGGCTGAGGAGGGCGGATCACGAGGTCAGGAGATCGAGACCATCCTGGCTAACACGGTGAAACCCCGTCTCTACTAAAAA